AGAAATTCAGCAACAATCATCTATGATCATTGGACAGGCTTAGTGAGAGGGAGCAAGACAAACAATCGAGCAAAGGAAGACTTGGTTAACCTGGGGTCTAGTTAGGCCCCAAATATGAGTGGCGCATACATACACATGCGCCACATGCAACTTCACACTAGAAATGCGTCAACATTAAATGTTAAAACTCTGTTATTCAATTAAGAAACTGTACGGCCACCCAGATGAAGACCTAATAATGACAGCTAAATGAGGAATAGCAAGTTTGCAGCTGGACGCCATTCTTGGCTGATTGTTTGAAGAATTTTGCTTAAAAATGATTTAGTGTTCTGGCTATGACTGCCGGATGATGAATACAAGCTCAGCACAGATTTATTGGGGCCGCAGGTCGCTATGTTGTGCACGTATTCAGTCGAATTAAGCCACAACTCCAAGGAAATCTTCCTTTGTCTTTCGATGAGGCTAAGCTATGAATTCACTCCACTCGATTATACACGAAACGAAAATTTAGTGACACAAAATCCATTCCAGTAGCTACCTACACTGTAATTTTAGCAGTTTTAGCGGATTTTCCTACCTTACTTTTTCACTCCGATCTGTAAAACATTATAAGACAGCTACTAAGCCACTCATTTTAACGTGTGCCTTTGCTTTCACTTCGTCCTAAATGCCCCATGTTTATTTTGTATTTTGCAATGGCATGACATTTTGTTGCTACTCAAATTTATATTAATGTTATTTAAAGATATTATGCTTTGCTTGTCTGATGCGAGCTCGATTAGAAGACTTGCTTAATGTATTATTTACTTAACTTACACGACTTTCTTGAGGAATATCTTTAGTGACAGAAACCCATCTCAAATTTTACCTTCTTTGCTCTTACATTTTCATTCCTTTAGATGGTTAATAACGCGCCCCCAGCTACTGTCAATTTGACTGGCCACTCTACGTCTGTGTCTTCTTTTAAACAGACTTCCGAAATCCTGGGTCTCAACAATAGCCAAGCAATTCAGTCTAGTGGCACCTATACGCCCGCTTTATCTGTAAGTGCATCAACATCTGCCTCAGTGACTGCCTCTTCAGCTCTAAGTTCTCCGGTATCGATTACCTGCCTAAATTCTGAGAGCAGGCCCACTACCCCAGTGCGGATAGCGCCTCACTCCATCCCTACAGTTTCCAACAGCCCCCTCCTCGTTAGTGCAACTCCATCCCGCAGCCTTAATATGGGTTTTAGCCAATCACCCACTTTGGTAGCTCTAGCTCCGAATCCTGTATCTAGCAGCGGAGCAACTATGAATTCGCTGACTGGAACTACTGGGGCCGGACAGTTGCGTACCTGCGCTCTTTTACCAGATGGCAGACAGCTCTTGATAGGTGCAGCCGACCTCAACACAGGATTGCCTACTTACCCTCCTAATCTCAGTGTCAAAACTGGAACTCCTATGCTAACTCCTCAAACACAGCTTAATGTTCCAAGAACAATTCGAAATGCTGCGATGCCTGCGCATGTTTTGACGAATCTTAACAGGCAGTCATGCCAACAAAATCAGGTTTGCATATTTTTCTCCCTTTATTTCTTCTTACTGCTGTTTTATAACCTAATTCTCGCTCATTTCTTAACTTTTGTTTATCCTGCCATCCAGACCATTACTCTTCTCCGACCATCGGTTCCAGTTTCATTGCCCATCTCTTCAGCCCCCAGTCCTTCCACAACAGTTTTTCTGCAAGCACCTTCGGGACAGACTTCTAATATGACGCAGTTCGTCCAGATTCTACCCAAGCCTACCCCTGCACCGCTAAATGATAGGTCGACAGTTAAGGTTTTAGGAACAAAGGTATCCCTTCCCTCTGGGCGCCGGCCTCTTTCCGACACAAGTACTTCTGGTTCTAATCCTAATCTTATGCCGCCAGCGACCTCGAGTACAAGCATGCCCATCACTACTACTAACAGGTCTGCCGAGCCAATGACGGCGAATACT